TTTGCTGTTCGTGGGCCCCTTTTATCCTACGTGGCAGATCCTCAACTTAGTCTTTCTTTTTTCTTTTTTTTTTTTCTCTTTCTTGGTTTTGCAAAATTAGTTTTTTTTCATCTATTTACCCAAAAATAAAAGTATAATTCTTTTATAAAAAAATAAACAATTAGACATTTATAAAATATAATGTTACTTGTATTCAAATTCCAAAGTGATTTTAGGTCATTTTGAAAAATGGACCCACTTCATATTTAATAAGGAACTCCTGAAAATTTTATAACTTTACCTTTGAACATGTTCCCCTAAGCAGTATTTCATATTTGATTTTATACATAATTTGAAAAAAATTCTAAATATTAAAATTTAGATTTTAAATTACTAAATATTATTTTTTAAAAGTAATTATATAAATTATTTAAACGAAATTTTAAGTTTAATTTATTAACTAATTTAAATTTTTAATTAGCTAAGTTATGTGTAAAATTAAATGAACACTTAATTTTATTTTTTTATATAAAAGAGATTGTAAGAGAGAAAAAAAATTATAAATATTAAATTTATTGAATATCATGATAATTATATAAAAAATTTTAAAACTAAATTTTAAATTCATAAATATCTAATTTTAGCTAAACTAAGAATTCGACATTTGAAATTATCTTTTGAATTCAATTAAAATAAATTGATAAAAGTTGTGTTATTTATATCAACTAAAATTGTTTGCCATTTTGTTGAACAAAAAAAAAAAAATTTGTGCAACCATTGCTGGATTACACTTAATGATAGAGACGTTAAATAATTTAGAATTTTTTTTTTTTAATTAGAACCTTTGACCAAACAGGCAAGCACGTATTTGTTGTGCCCTAATATGCATAATAAACTCCTGAAAATCATGCAATAATCTTCCCTGATTTTTTTTAAATTAACTATATTTATGTTTAAAATATCTTTTATAACTAAAAGTGCGTTAATCATAAAAACTAATTAAGAGGTGCAGTTGTAATTTGAGATTTATGGTTTAAAGTTAAATTATCAAATAACCACTCAATTATTTATTTTTAACAAAATAACTTATTTTTCCTTCTAAAATCATTTTTTTAGACATTTTAATTTTTCACAATAATATCAAATATTTAAAATTTTTAAATCATAATTTCTTATAATAAATTTTACATTACCTTTTAAATTAAATTTTGTACGATGATCATTTTTAATTGACAAGAACCAATGAGAAACATTTTTATCGTTCATTAGATAATATTAAATTAGATTGACTTCTGTTTAATGACAAATCATAACCGCGTTTGCTATCTGTTTCCAGGATGCAATGAAGAAATGCTTTGTTAAATGCCGGTCAAAATTGTGAAACATGGGAAAATTGCGTTGAATTTGATTTCCCATAAAAACTCACCAAGCCGATTATTCGAAGAAACAATGTAAAATGTGGGACACCACGGCAAGTTCTCCCACTCCTTCCCCACGATGATAGACTTGTTTGTTTTGTTTAGTCAGCTTAAATGTCAGCTACAGCCCACTTGAGAAAATTAAAATATATATAAATTAATTGATTTCTTTTTTTTCCCCATTGTTGTTCCTTTTGTCATCTTAATTATTATTTTTTATCTACATATTTCTAATGCCATTACTTAGGTGTTAGTAGTATTTTTTTTTTTAATCTTTGAGTAAAAAAAAAAGGATTATGAACATATAAGTTAATTGAATTGATTAAATTTGAATTTCTTTTAAATCTATATGCGATTTTAATTATTATCAATTTTTTATATATATAATTTATAAATTTAATATAAATTTTCGTTAAAACTTTCGACATATCTTGATCTTAAAATGGATAGCCTCCCCTTATTTTTTACACCAAAAAAAGTTTTTACTTCAGTAAATAAATTAAATTTTTTACGTCAATATTGGTTTTTCCCATGACCTACTAGCAAAATATAATCAAACTCAATATATAGTACGTAAGAAGAATTTTTCTTCCTTTACTATTTTTTTTTTTTACGTAGTTGATTAATTAAGTTTAAGAAATGGGTTTGAATTGAAGCATTCTTCTTTGATGATCTTAATTCAAGGCTTTTTTATACTGTGTTTTTAAGGAGCAGCTAGGATAAAACTTATTCTTTGATATTAAACAATCATGTCTAATGCATGCACGTAATATGCGTACAATTGTTTTTTAAATGTGTGCATAGACAATAATAATATTTATATTAACAAATATTTTTAAGGTATACACGTGTGCTAGTAGCATAATATTATTAATTAATGATGTAATAAGATAAAATATGTAATGTTAATTTTAGTTTAATACGGATCTAGAAGTGAATTGATTTATTAAAATAAATAATTATATGATTCATTGATAGGATGATTAACTCTTAATTTCAAAAATAAAAATTTAAACTTTAGACATATTCACACAAAAAATAAATATTTCAAATTATATTATTTCATAAAAAAAAAAGAAAAATATTTACCACTTCAATTTAATCATGAATTAATCATATTATATACGTATCTTCTATTTCCATCCATCTAATTTTGACTCTTTCTCTCTTTTTTTTTTTTTAAATACTAAATTAAGTGATATATTATATTAGGTTGAAGTGATGATTTTGATTTGGTTAAAACTTTGCAGTCTCTCTACAAAATTAAGTCTTGCTATATTTACTTTGTAAACTATAAATTCTGGTTTGTGGATAAGACAACAAATTTAATTCATGATAGTTGCATCTTACCTATCCCAATTTTTATATATATATATATATATATTTTACTTCGTCAATCTGATTTACAAAGCCAGCAACATTATTTTATTTAGAAATAAATTTAAGATAATACTATTAAATTGAACTAAACATATCTAAAAAAGATTAAGTTACATTGACGTAAAATTAATTGTGGAATTTAACAATATTTTGATATGCATTATTTACGTGAATATAAAGTGAAAAAATATAAGTCTCATAAACATATAATATGAAATAATGTAAAATAAAATTAGTTTTATGAAATAGACTGTAAATATACATATATATTTAGATTAGAATAATTACAATATATAATAAAATTCAACTTTTAGAATTAATGGAAAAATGCTAGTAATTAATTTGTCAAAAATGGACCGCTACGCGCAAGATTATAATCTTTTGATTCATAATTGGTGCAAACATTTTTGGTCTTTTAATTTATATTTATATGATATATTATGTTGACCGAACCTATACTTATGTTTTCTAGATTAAGAAAAAAATGCAATCGCCAATAATTAAATCATGAGAAATATATTTTTTGTTAGTCAAGTTTTTAAAATTTAGAATCGAAATAAAGCAGAGTAACACATAATCTTTAAAATAAATTAAAAAATAATATTTATCAATCTTTTAATTTTATTGATAATAATTAAAGTGGTTAGTGGTTTATGGGCTCCACCACTGATTCTCGGTTTACAATGTGAAAGAAACTTGGGTAGAATCATATGAATAGAGAAAATGGGTGATTGGTACTGATTAAGGGTAGTTAAAAATTATTTAAGATTTTTTTCTATTTAATACATTATTTTATTAAATTATATATTTTTATAACGATCACGTAGATTCGACACACTGATTAATAATATTTTTTTTTTAAATGGTAATATTCGTCTAGTTTTATTATTATGTATAGCACTTTGTTGTTGGTCCAATGGAGAGTAGTTTCCATGCAATATCCTCATTCACTTTCTTTTACGATTTTCTAAGTTAGTGGCTTTTTGCATCTGCCGTATACTTTCGTGGAAATTGTTGCAAGTGGACCAAACCACAATGATTTCAGTTTTTTTTTTTTTTTATTTGACTTGTGAATTTAATTAATGTGAATTCTTGATCTTCTAGATAAGAAATATAGGATTAATTCAAAAAATATATAAAAAATATATTTTATCCTTGCATTACAATGATGAATTATAAATACAATAACTTATATTGATACATTAATAAATATAGAGAATTTATATATATATATATAGATGATAGAATGAATTTAAAATTGAAAATCTTAAAACTTAAGTATCCATTTTCTTTAGAATCTAACTTCTTTTATACCAATTCATTTATTTCAATATATTAGTTTTTCTTAAAAAAATGTTTCAATTTAGGAAAAAATTTTTTATTAAGTTTGAATTTTAAAAATTTGAATATCAATTGTTTATCAATAATATTATTTTTTTAAAAATAATTACATAAATAATTAATTTAAAATTAAAAATTATATTAATTTTTGTAAAATATTATAAAGTACAATGCATGAAGATTAAAAAAAAAAAAACAAGAAAAGACTCAGTTTGGTCCACGTCCTCAAAGACAAGACAAGATGTGACAGTGCGATCGAAAGCTTCATTGACCAAGAAAGACTATGAACAGCTATTGCTGTATAATACAAGACTGACTGACTCTCAGTATTAATTTTGCTCACCCTGAAATCCTAACTAAAAAGACATATGCCCAATTGTCACACCAGTCAGTTCAAGACAAAATGAAAAATGCAAGAGGGCCGGCCAAGTTGGTTTCTTTGAAAGCTTCTTCTGGGCTTATAGCTATCAACTTTTTCTCTAGTTTGGCTTTGTTACCTTCAATTATAGCAGGTGGAATGGATAAGATCTATCCAAGATCGTGCACGCTATGGTCCAAAACGTTTGGCATTATTAAATAGTATGAACTTTTGTATTATGTTTGTTTTTTTTTTAGTATAAATATGAAAATTATCATGTTATTATGTTAAACACATGTTGCTTTTAAACTTATTAGTTGTAATATAAAATTTTAGTCTGAACCAAAATAATTGAGCAAAAACAGACAGAACTGCAATCTCTTTCGTTTATTTGATTGATTGGATAGAAAAGGAAGCATATTGAGGCCTGTCATCAATCAAAGCTCTGAAAATAATAAAAAGGAATTACATGTTGAAGAAATGACAAAATGGGATTTTAATCAAACTGAAGAAGGGCCTGGGAATTATTTTAGAAGGGTTCTTGTCAAGTGTTCACGAGCTGTAGCTAATGCTTGACTTATGGTCTGCAATATTAGCAGAAACAGAGAACATTCAGTTTAAGAGAATATTTGAAATTGGTGATAGGAATCTGAGGTTTACATATAGCCAATTTTAAGGATTTTGGTAAGTTTGTTTGGAAAATCTGCAGGCAGCTGTTTATAAGTACAAAAAAGAAAGATCAGAATAAAGTTACCTGTTCAGACAATGGTGCTGAAACATCCATGTTTTGGATTGCCACCTTTCCTGCTAGAACATTTGAATCTGTTTCAAGTATCATCCTGCCAGAAAAAAAAAATGATTTGTGCATTTTATGCAAGTCAAATGAATTTTGTCTATCAGATTTACAATGAAAAAAGCAATTGTTGGTAAAAGATTAAGAAGCTTTCTTATATTCATATCTATGAATTGGGGGATCTGTTCAATCATGGACATATTTTAGTTATGATCATGGTCTCAGTACTGGTGCTTGAAATTAGAACAAGGATATTTATAATATTCCATGAATTTAGGAGGCAAATTGTTGCATACCCTTGATCAACAATTTCATCAATGCATAAGAAGATGAGATCTAAGTTCTCAAGTGCTTCCCTTTTATCAATAGTGTTCCTACAATGAGGAACATGAAATTGAATGATTTAGAAGCAGAAATTAGGCATTGCAAATCAAAATTATAAGACTGTTTAATGGATGAGCTACAATATGCTTAAAAACAACCTCAAAAGAAGAGAAATTGCATCAAAGAGTCCCTGAAGCACACCGGCAAGTAAGAGTTCATTTTCTTCATCACCCCCAGTTATAAAGAAATGGAGGTCCTGGACAAACTTATATATAACAATGTTGCTGTCAAACATTGTGATTTCAGCTGCAAATGATCCAGAACACATCAACAATGCAATCTCAAGCTTAAGAACAAAAGGGTTTGATCAGGATTTCAGTATAATTCACTAAAGTTGAACTAGCAACTTTAATTTTGCATTAATTGGACAGAGAAAATGATAATTGAATTATAATGATTAAAAGGGTAACAAAATCTCATGAAGATTACCTTCCGTACGAGCATTTGATTTCAGTGTTTTTGTGAAGATGGATTTTTCAAAAGCTAACTTGGCAGCATTTGTTGGCCATTCATCTGAGTAATACTTCACTGCTACACGTTTCCCTTCAGAGTCTAGAATAAGAATGTTCTTTACTGCAGGACAGGAGTCCTATAAATAAAACAAATAATTAACAACAGTTGGATTGTTTAAAAAACACCATGATTTCCCAATTCACCATTCAATTAACATAGAATTAAGCACAACATTTTCAGATCCACTCAGAAAATCAGTGCAAGAATCACAGTGCAAACTACTTACTGTTAATATCCATATGTTATCCATATGGAACAATTATAATATGCAGATCAATGAGAAAAAAAAAAAAGCAAAAATATTTCTGACCCAAAAACAACCAAAAGAAAAAAGGAAAATGGAAAGCATTAATAAAGAAAACTGAGTTATGGGTAAGAAATAAGAATGAGAGACTTACCCTAGAGGAAAAGAAGTTAGCCATGTTTGAATGAAGGGAAGGCTGCAGTTAGTTGGGGTTTCAGTTATATATATATGTGTGTGTGTGTGTGTGTGTGTGTAAGTTGTTTTCTTTTTGGTTAAATCATTTTGAATGACTAAAATAGTCATTGGAGAGATTTTCATGTTATCATTTTCCAACAATATCTGAAATTTTGGTCAAATTGCTTAGCTAAAACGAAGGAGAAGCAATAAAAGAACCATTCAATTTAAAATTTTATTTCACACAACTGACAACATTGAACTTTTTTTTTCCTTTTTTTTAAGAACTTTCATCCATTTCATTTTTAATCAGACAACTTCTATTCTATGTTCACAATCATTCCAATATAAATGTTTCTAGTTATTTATATTTGTTTTAACATATTAATGTTACATGAAACTTGTCAAATTGTACTATGGTTATAACTGGTTTTATAACATTTCTTTACCACTTTCCTGTCCAATACTCGATGGACAATGAAAGTTCTGATATCGGTTCTTCCAATGAGGATGACTCTTATGAAAATGAACAAGTTCAAATTGTTCATTCTTTGCCTGTTTATGTCATGGAGTTAATCACTGGTGGTGCTTCTAGCTGCTTTGCAAAAACTACGGTTGCACCACTAGAGCGAATCAAGATACTTTTGCAGGTTATAATATGTGATTTCTCTGTTAATATCTTTAAATATTTCAATGAATCATTATTTCAATATTATCTCTTTTGCAGGTTATAATATGTGATTTCTCTGTTAATATCTTTAAATATTTCAATGAATCATTATTTCAATATTATCATTGTTAAATCTTAAAGTATTTTGGATCGCCCTTGTGTTGATCTATGTCCTGTTAATTGTCATGGTGATTGGTGAAATAGATTCTTACCATTTGATTCAATTTATCTGTTGGTTTTGCTGATTTGATTATAATTTATAAAGTTATCATGATTCTTTCCTATATAAAGCCTAGTTTTGTTATTGTTTGGAACTGATAGACGAGGGCCGAAGGATTTCATTCAATTGGGGTCTATGGATCATTGAAGAAGCTAGTGAAGCATGAAGGTGTTGGGGGGCTATACAAGTAAGTTCAGCAATGAAAATTGAGTATTACTTTATTGAAACAACATCAGATTTTGACTCATTATTTCTTTCCAGAGCAAATGGTGTTTATATCCTTCGGATGGTACCCCATTCTGCATTTCATTACATAACGTATGAACAATGTCGGGGTTTGCTGCACTACAAATGTCCTTCTATTGGGACAGGGCCTTTGCTGGATATTTTAGCTGCCTCTACAGCTGGGGGAACAGCATTTTTATGCACTTATCCCTTGGATTTGGCTCGAACGAAGTATGCTTATCAGGTAGTTATTTATTGACAATCTAACTTGTATATATTGCAAAGTTTTCATTAAAAAATCCTTTTCCACTTATCAAATAAAGGTCACTGCATTTGTTGGATTAGCTTCTTGATCCATATAGCTGATTCTCTCATTGTACATTTCAAGTTGATTTTTTCTGCATCTTAAGGTGGTGGATCGAAGTCAAAGTGGCAATGATGGTCTTAGATGTATCCATTCGGGTCATCCTGCACATCAAGGGATAAAAGATGTCTTCAGGACTGTCTATAGAGGAGGTGGAATGCGCGGTTTCTATCAAGGCCTAGGTATTCTAGTCTTCTCTTCTTACAAAAATGTAAATGTTGAATAGAGCATCTTTACAGATTCAATCAATAATCATTAAAATTTAAAGATCAGGTCCAACACTTGGTGGAATCCTCCCTTACAATGTTGTAAAATTCTATGCTCATGAGGAGCTCAAGAGATGGGTTCCCAAAGAACATCAAAGTTCCATTGCATTGAATCTTTCTTGTGGAGCTTTGGCTGGTGTCATTGGACAGACTGTCATGTATCCATTGGATGTTGTTAGGAGACAAATGCAGGTATACCAATTTAATTTGCCTTAATTCTTACTAAGCTAGAGAATTCTAATGTCTTTCTGTTGAACGTTGAGGATAACCAGACATACTTGCTTAAACTAGATTTATATTCAAACATTAAATTCAAAGCTGTTTACTACAGGTTGACATTCTGCACCAGAATGGTGCCAGGTACAATAACACCATTGAAGTCCTTACAGCCATTATTCGTAATCAAGGATGGAGACAGTTATATGCAGGTTTATGCATTAATTATATGAAGGTCTGTTTCAAAGTGTTATTCAAGAAAGCTAGGAAATATGGAACTTAATGACTAATTCATTGGCATATAACTATGCTCTCCAAAAGAAAAAAGTCTATTCGGATGAAAAATTCTAAATGGTTCACTTGTTTGTATAAATGGGAAGATATATTGCTAGATTTGAAAGTAATATGAGAATGAATTAACAGTCTAGCATTCATATCACAATCTAAAGTTCACTCTGTTGCAGGTTGTTCCTTCAGTAGCCATTGGTCTCACATCATTCGAAGTTATAAAGAGCCGGTTAAATTTCCCACCTTAGCAGTTTTGATCAGTATCTGCTGGAGAAAAAAAAGGTTTTCCATTTTTCCCAAGAGAAAGTAAAGGATTGTTGTCCCTTTTTGTTTCTTCAACAGCAAGAGGTGAACTCCATTCAGGCTCTTTCAATGGTGTGTAGCTGAGTCAACCAAATTGAGAACAAAATTGTTAGGTTAAAGATCCATAAATGTTCATGTTTCAATCCTCATCAAGATCTAGCAAGCAATGAAGATCGTTGATGTTGCTGATACAGAATTGTGAAAATGATCAAAGCACAGCTTTCTATAGTTGATGTTGATCTGCTTCTTGTTGGACTTAATCAATTTGTTTAATAGTCTGAAAACACCTGTTCTTGTTAGTATATCATATAGAAGAAGAGCGTTTGTTTTAAACAGATCAAAGGGTCTTATAACAGCTGATTACAAGCAGCAAAACACATTCCTGTAGCTAAAAATGATTTTCCATACACTAACTAGAGCATTGCAACAAAGCCTACAGCAAGTTGAATTTAGTTTTTGTACAAATGGATAAGAAATGGTCTTAATCAAACTGAAAAAGAGAATTTAGTGAGCTCTGAGCAGTGAGCAGCTAATTGTATCAAGGCAACTGAGGTTTAGTTCATGGGCTGTAAAGGGAAGGACCACACTTGCATTTCCAACTCTCAGGCTCATAATTTGCATACTGCAGACCCACATGGCTGCGCTTAGTTGTAGTAGGCACTTGAATGGCTTCACATGGGATGCAGCCATAGCATTTGTGTTCACAGCTTGGAGGACTTGACCCTATACCCAGTTTGCTATCCACTTCAGCATTTGCTTCTTTATTTATGGTGGCAGCCATTCCTTCCTTGCTTTTAAAACTCTGCAACGAGATTTCTTTTGAGCTTGAACTTGGGCCCAAGGAAACTTGTAAAGACTGTGGACTATGGCCTGTGATTGATCAAAATTAAGGTGGATTAATACAGCAATTTTGGATGCTATTGAACTCATCATACAACAAACAAAAATAACTAAAGAGGGGAGAATCATCAAGGTGTCATCTAGAAAAGGTAAATATATCAGAGGGAAAGCTGAACTGATGGTTGAGAAAAAGTGTGGCTACTTCCTAGCCAAATAGTGGTGTCAAAGGCAAGAGACTGTTGAAGATAGCAAGTGGGAAAGAGAATTTTCTTGTTGCAAGAGGATTAATGTCAAAAGTGATGACATGGTGGTAAAAGACTAATTAAAGTAACTTAACAGACATAATCAGTGAAATGAAAAAAGTGGACCGTTTTGCTCATGATGATTATATAAGAAAGCGAAGGCAGGCAAGTAGCTTAGCTAACCTGGTTGATGAACACCAAAACCATCATTTGGTGCTAAAGGCATGCTTGTTGCAGAAGTCCAGCTTACTATTTGAAGAGCTAACAGGAAACAAAACAATCTTCCCTCCATTTCTTCAAAACCTCAAATGGTGATGTTGATTGACTAATTATGAATGCAATGTGAGAGATCAAGGGAGCTAGAGAAATTAAGTGCTTGCACAGTTTAAGAGGCCATGCATGACTGTTGGAATATAAGGTGGCGGGAAAAGCCTGGCAAACAGAAATCGCATTTCCCAATGTAAAAGAGCAAAGCTAAAGCCTCTAGTATTTCTTGGATTTTTCTCTACTCATCCTTATCTTGCATTGGCATGGAGATATTGCTTCACAAGCAAGTGATTCTGGTTTCTGGTCATATGGTTAAAAGCGCCAGCAATTTCACTCCCCATTTGACAACTCAACTTGAAAGCCTTTTGGTTAATCTGTTTCTCTCTCTTTCCCCTTGTACCCTCTTGACCTCTCGCAGTCTTGCTTCTCCGCGCAAGCTAACGTCTCTCTCCGATCTCTTCAGATCAATCTACTAATATAGTACTTTTTGAGGTGGTGCATTAGCCCCGAATAACAGCTGCCTCTTTTGGGTCTAAGAGACCTATAAATCAAAAGAAATGTTAGCTTTGCCTTGACTGCAGGGCCTTTTTACTTCTGATAGTTTCATTCCTATTAAGGGTAGAAAAATCCAGTGGCAGAGTCCCATTTATGTAAAGAAAAGCATCAAAGTCTGAGGCAATCAGGACTGCAGCAATTTTAAATGAGTTGGTTAAAAAATTTACTACTTGGGGTCAACTTTTCACGGGTTGGTTGGTGGGGAGCACACAGGCTAATCTACCCTTGATCAAATCTTGATCGTCCATTTGGAATATCAGCCAAGATGGCAATTAAGAAATTTTGGTGGTCCCTGATTCTTGTTTAGATATCTAGATATGCACATTTAAAAGGGAGTAGTAAATCCTACCAGATAGTATCACTATCTTATTTCATTTTAAGTCTTCTATTTTTGAAACAGCACCAGGAACTACCCTGTAAGCATGCAAATATCTTAAGGAGCGATGCCATTCATTCAATGTTATATCTGAATATTAAACTTTGAGGTGATAGCTGTGAAACTGAGCCAGGGAAGCAAAGCTCGAAAAAAAGAAATTTTGATTGCACCACCCAATGTTCCACTGTAGCTCTCTAAACTCTTTAGCTGATAGTCTGGGCAGTAGGCTCTGCTGCGGAGAAATTTTTCCCACAATGAAGGGCTGGGGGCCGGAAACTTTCAAAAGATAAGTTCAAATAATCATCAATGAAAGCAGGAACCCTAAACAACAAATGTTTTTTTCCATGTTTTCTATGGATTTGTGTCTGACTACAGTGATATGATCTTTCACAGTACTGTACTATCACCAGTAACCAGTCAGTATCTTTATCTATATAATAAAGTGAGAGAGAGCACTGCTGATTTCTCAATTATCACTGGAGTATAAAGACAAGTCTCTGCTCTTAAGCATCTTGGCTATTGCAGATCCTCCCACATTAAACACCACTTTGTCCATGCAAAACACAAATAAAACTTGAATTATAGTGAGGAAAACTTTACTATTATTGTTATATACAGCTAATTGTTTTAAAAAAAAAACCATGCTCAGAGCTTGGAGTAATCTTTTATCATTCATTTTCACCAAGCACACCCAAAAGCATGGACGTCAACTTTGACTCGTCTTAGTAGCCATGCAGTTTCTAATGGTATCTTGCATTTGCAGACTTCCAAGTCAGGAGAGTAGAAATTAAGAAGAAGTGCTTTGAGATCAGTCATCATTCTCAACATATTCCAAATATCTAAAAGAAGATGCATTCTATTTCTACAGTCTGCAGCATTCACCCCATCTTAAAGATAAATCTGGATTAGGTGCAACTGAGCTGACATTATTAAGATGAAAGGCTGTGCTTAATCATTCTTTTGTTGATTGTCTGAGTAACATCTCTCAAAATTTAAATGCTCTTGACGTTTTATTTAACCATTCTTGGCGAGTGTTTCCAAATCTGAGCTTTACTACAAACAGTGTCTATACTAGTATAGCGCCTGCCTAGTTTAGTAGTTCAGTGGGTCCCTCGAAGTTATAGAATTTACCTCTGCTTTGTAAGTAGAATCATTATATTCTTATTGAAACATCCAATAATGTTTTATGGCTATGATCTCATGAATAGATGAACTAATCTGGGTGCTCCAAATCCTATTTGACTATAAATTTGCAGACTTCTCTACAGCCATATACAACCAAATACCAGACTGCCTTTTATTTTTGTCCAAAAAATTAACTTTGAGTTGTTTGCTGGATCGGAAAAGTGCAAGGCGATAATAAAACGCTGTAGACCTGCTCATGACTGAGTTGAAAGAAGCAGCTGATTTTCTTAACCGGTTTGCACTATTTGCTGCGTTTCATTACCATTTCTAAAAATGATAACGTTTGGACATGGGGTTAAACTCCCAACAATTATTACAAAACTGATAAACAAAATTCACCAGAGAAATCAAGGATCTGATAAAATTTCTTAGACATTTGATTGCTAACTACTATTTCTGCAAGCCTTATTTCTCATTATCTGAATTATTTGCAAACATAAGAAGGCCACCTGTCTGAAACCCCCCCCCCCCCCCCCCCCAAAAAAAAAAAAAAAGAAGAAGAAGAAAGACCACCTGGATAGAGATATATTTCTAAATCTACAATTATACCATCCAACAAGACAATGATCATATCCTTAACTGTGTCTAACACAACAGAGATGTCTTACTATATCCGAGTGATATTGCCTTATTTGAAGGCAGAATCTATGGCATAGAAGTTTTTAGCGGCAATGACCATAACCATAAAAATGAAAATAATAATATCAGAACTAAATGCAGAGAACTATTATACATTTGAGCTAAATGTTACTACAATTTCGTATTACATCAGTAGTCTTAACAACTTCTTGGTACTCAAAAGAAGTCCTCAGGTGTATGCATGTGCAATAATAACCAAACAAAGGATTGGCTCAATGATTAAAGATCAGTAAGCTCAGGTTTATGGAGTCTGATATATTTTGAGATGCAACTGCAGTGCAAATCAAACAGGAAAATGAAGTTTTGAGTTTATGACATGTATAAGTAAGAGTTAGTAATTAACTAAAACTCGAATTAATATGCCTCATCTAACTGAACCAAAAAAAAATGGCTATCACACCACTCATCTTTTATTTCCAATCTTTCATATGTGAATAACATATGCATTTTATTAAAAACTCTAGCACAGTGATCGCCACACTTTTATGATTTTCGTGTTTTAACACTGGTAAAATCAGATCTTCTGTTATGTGACTTTAACAAGTTCATCCCCTAGTTAAATTTGGGATTTTGAGATATCTGTTAATGTTACAACTACATCATACAATCTTTAATCTAGTTAGTAGGTTAGATGCTAATGACTACTATAAGCAAATTGGGTCACATGGACTCTATCAAAGAACAATTGGGCACTATTAAGATAAAGAATTTCAAACTAAAAGACAAGTTACTTGTCAAAACACAAGAATCAAATTCTACAATGCAAACAAGGACTACATTTCAAATAATCTCAGTTGAGTAAACAAATTAAAGCAATTAAACATCATAAAAGTATACATTAACTTCTGCGATACCATCTTCATCTAAAGAAAATTTTATGATATCTTTTTCATGATAAAAGTCTCAACCCACCTCTTACTTTGAAGATGAGTTATGATCCTTTAGATTCTTTCTTAGGATGAATTGCTCCAACAATGGCCTCCACTTCTTCCTTCACTCTTTCAAAGACATTTGGGCCTTTAACATCACCTACAGAGGTGTCCTCATCGATATCATTGCTCCTTCCATGCGTTTCTTTGTGATGGTGTGGGCTTTTATCAGTGTGGATTATTGCCTCAATCTCTTCCTTAACTCTCTCAATTATATTAGGTGCTTTAACATCTTTGTCTTTCAGATCAAAATACAAAAGAAAAAAAAAAAAACCCATTAAATTGCCACTATATTTACCTCCAAAGCTAGAATGAACAAGTCTAAATCATGAATGAAAAAAAAAAAAATTAAGCCTTCATTTGCTTCAATGGAACTGCCACAAGCAAAGAGTTCACATTTCTTTCCCACCCATGTTAATGGTCATAAATAAATAGTAGTTCCCAGGGAAAGAATTATAGTTATCGAAGATTAGAGTGACCCAGAAAGCTAAGATTTGTACTAGAAAAAGCCATCTTTTTACAAAACGCTAAATATTCACAGATCAAAGTATACATTTACACAAAATTTGACATTAAGTACTGCAACAATTAGGCATAATAAGTTCAACAAAAAGAAGAAAAAAAGACAAGAGATACGAAGAAATTTAGACCAAATCATGGTACCTGAGACAGAGTCCTTTGGATGTTGTTTTGGTACAGACATTTGATCTGAGAATGATTCAAACAGGAAACCTTAACCGAGTTTGAGGTAGTTTAGGAACTTATGATTAAGATCCTCTCCATCAAATTGGACGCAGTCATGCAGATGCATCTTGACTGTAGGTTTATGTGGGGCCCCCATCTTCCTGATGACGTGGAAGGATAGGATTTCACAATTGAAATACTGAACAGGGTTATTTTAACTGGGCTATAGGTCTCACATTGGTGTCTGGAATTAGGCTTAGGGAAAATAAAAGCCCAATTGATAATTCTACCTTTTATTTACCTTTTTTTTTTTTTCGCTGGAAATGGGTGATATTAGACACGACAATTTATCTTATTTTGTATCATATTTGATACGTATAATGATATAAATTATTAAAATATAAATTTAATATAAATTATAAAATATATTATAATTTTAAATATAAATATGATACATTTAATATACGTATTACAAGTGATATAATACGATTAACACGAATAATAAATTTATTTAAATACAAAACAATTAAATATAAGTAATATAAATATATATAAATAGATACAATTAATACGGATATACACATATTGACATGATTAACACAAATATATATAAAAACACAACAAAAATAATAAATAATTATAAATTATTTATTATTTACAACTTAATAAATTTGACATATTAATAATATAAAAAGTATTAATATATTAAAAATAAAAAATTTTAATATTTATTTAATATGTATTTAATATATATATTTTTAATTTATATTATATAACTATATTAATTTTTAATATCAAATTTAACATGATAAACTATTGAAGATTAAAGAATAAAAGAATAATATATATGACTAATATTAATATTTATATCGTATTTATATTATTAAAATAAAAATAATTTTATAATAATTATTAAATGGGTATCATAATTAAATGTTTAAGATAATTTTTATATAATATTAAATAGTTAATTAAGTATTATAATTAAAAAATTAAAAATTAAAATAATTTTTATATGTTAATATTAAATTAAAATAAATATACAAATATGTTAAACATGTACTTATGTGATAATATTAAATTAAACATATTATTCATATCGTGTTATATGTTTATATAAAACAATACATATATGATATAAATTATATCATTTTAAATTTTATATCGACACAAATAAATATGAAATATTTTTTTAAAATACATATATAATTTTTTTATATTATTTTATATCATATTATCGTATTATATCTATAAAATTTATAAGTAATATTTAATTTGTTAGACTTTTCTTGTGAGTTTGACTTTGGGCCCAAGTTGGTTTCAACTGCACCTCACCCGAGAAAATTTGTGCTCATTAAGGTTTAACATTCGTTCGGATGTCAAAGTTGCCTCACATTTTTCTCTCTTTTTTTTTTTTTTTTTCATCGGAGGATTTAACTCCAGTTGAAAAATGTATTAGACTTTTTTTTGTCTTTTATTTTATATTGCAAAGATAAAAATATTTGTATACTTTAATTTTCTTTTTTTATTTAAAATTTATAAAATAAATTTATTAATTTATTATAACAACTAAGTTTTATTTACTATATAATAAATTAATTAATAAATAAAATTCTAATTAATTTTATAAAATGAAATAATTTAAATTTTTTGTTAATATAATTTTTACTCTAATTTTTTTAATAATCATTTTTTAATAAATTTACTTCACTATTATTATTATTTTTACATTTAAATATATGTCTTATTATTAACTTTAATATTATCGTTACAATAATTAATTTTAATTTTATTATTATTTTTAATATCATCAAAATTAATCTATTTTTTGTTTAAATAAATCTTAAATATAAATAATTATAAAATGATGAAAATTCATAGGACAAAACAGTGTCATGATGAGTTATGAGTCAATGAAGAATGCAATGAACAATGGCAATTGGCAGCTTGGAGCATCTTTAAAATGGAAACACCACGAGCAGTTTTGACCCTCAAGCGAAACTTTCACAAATTTTCGGCAGTTTTTTTTTTTTTTTTTTCGGCGGAGATCCCATCAATCTCCTGATTTTCTTTGATTCGTCGAAAAAAGAAAACCTAACACTAATTTTCGATTGAAGAGAAAAAAAAATAGAAAAATAATTGTTTGTTTGAATAAAATTTTAATTTATAAAAATAAAAGAGGAGAACAATCAATATTTTTTGGTTTTCTTATAATTCTTATTTTTTTAATACATTAATTTTGAAAAAATTTTAAAAAAAAGAAAATTAAAAAAAATTATTTTTTATAAAAAAATTATTATATTTATATTTTTATTATGATATTAGATTTGATTATATAATTGATATTTTTTACAAAAATAATTTGTTTATAAATATTTTATATAACATCATAATTTATAAATATTTTATGATTTTTTAAATCTTAATAATAAAATAAATCAAATTATTATTAAAATAAATTAAAAGACTGAATTAAACATTAAATTAAAATAAATCAATAACTAATTAATATATTTTATTGTATTAAATATGTTTAATTTTATTTAAAAAAATTTTATACAAATTAAATAATATAAAAATATATATGTATATTATATATTACTTTATAAAAAGTTATAATTAAAAAATATTATAATGAATTATTTACTTTTTTATTATTTATCTAAATAATGATTGATAAATTATTTTATTAATTTTAATTATTCAAATAAGATATATATATATTTTTAATTTTTTTCTTCATTTATTTGTATGCAAAAAGGAAAAAGTGTCATGGCCCAGGTTGAGGAAGTCAAAAGGACAGATTAATTTGGTAAGGGGTCCAAATGTCTACGAAAGCGCGTGGAAAATCCAATCCTTTCAGTTTCAAACTTCCAAGAAATTTCTTTGTCTCTTAACCAATGAATGTATTGCAAAGCTGACTTTGCTGCTTTGTTACAATTCAAGGAAACATATTTTTGGCCACCATTTGTTTGTTTTAAAGTTAAATTTGGCAACATTAATATGATAAAGATTTAAATGAATTTTTTTGATAAATTATATAAAAAATTTTATTTAAAATAATTAAATTAAAATCAATATATTTAAAGGCCTCGTTATATAAATTAAATTTTAAAAAATTTTAAAAATTTAAAAAATTTTGATATATTTTTTAGATAGATATTTTTAATAAAAATATTAACAAATTTTTTATTATTAAATAAATATAATCAAATTTGAATTATAACAACATTTGTAATAATTTTTTTTACATATTATTGATATTTATATTAAATTCTATCAATTTATTAATTTGAAATTTTTATTAAATAATTAAAAAATTCACAAATTTCATTTAAAAAATTAATGTAAATCTTATCCCATTAATATTGCCATCAAATACATGATTCGATCCTTACATTTATAGATAATTTAAAGAATGTTAAAATGTGAAATCAATACTAAATTTAGGTTAAAAGATAAAAAATGAGAGAAAAAGAGATCGATTCTAATTAATTTGAGAGAAAAAAATTATAATATTTTTTTAGCTGTAAAAGATTTATAAATTTCATTGAATATATTTTCTCTTTGCACTTATATCAAAATTAATAAATTTATAACAAATTATTTTTATAAATTTATTAAGATAGTTTTGTCAGTGACATTTCAAGCTTTTGTGAATCACACACATAATCTTTCTTTGCTGCTGGTAACTAACGTTAAAGAAGAAAATAACATTTTCTTCCCTCTTCGCATCAGATCAAAATATATATTTCCTCCATTTCAAATTTTTAATTCATATTTTTTTAAAGATATTTTAAAATTATTAATTTTTTATATTTTAAAGTTTTTTTTTTATAATTTCTTTACCTGTTAATATTAAAAATTATGAAAATTTAGTATAAATATATTAAAGATAATTTTTTTAATTTTATGAAAATTAATAATATTAAAATAATTAACTAAAATATATATGAACTTAAAGACGAAGAAAATGGATCCTTTCGTAGTCATGATAAGCATTTCTTTCCCGTGGGTTTTGAGTGTGGCATGTTCCACATGCATGAATGACGACAAATTTTATATTTGAGCACTGTCCTTCAAGTGTGTGAAACTGTTGAGCGGTACTCGGTAGATGCACCGCGTGTGTGTGTGTTTTTTTTTTAGTTTGTGTAAAATTTTATAGTGAAATTTGTAAAAATTTTTATTATAAATGAGTAAATAAAAAATTAAAATTAAAATTGATCTATTAGAAAATTTTATCATATAAATTAAGTAGGTAAAATTTTTAAAAAATATAATAAAATATAATATATTTATTAAATAAATATTTTCAATAAAAATATTGATAAAATTTTTATCATTAAATTTAAATAATTTTTTTACATGTTATTAAATTTTATATTAAACTCTATCAAATTATTATTTTTTATTTTTTATTAAAATTTTATTTACTCATTTTTAATAAAAAGCTTCACTAATTTTATCTATAAAATTTAATGTAAATTTTATCCAATTTTCTTACCTTCCCCTTTTCTCTTCAATATATTTTCTAAGTTTCTGTTCCCTTACGTACGCTCTAAATCAAACAAGAATCCATGAAATCCGACCAAGTTAGCAAATCATTACATGATCAAAAGATATCATCAGAAGCTAGTCTTCACTTTTTGGACGACCGAAAAAACAGACGAGCAGGCTATTTGACTAACTCTCTCTCTCTCTATCTCTTTAGAAAAAGAAAAGGATAACATCTTACTAATTTACTAAGAACAGCGATTACTAATTTAATTAGAACATCGATACTATCATGCAATTAAATCAATTGGTTAAAATTTATATTCTTCAATAAAAAAATTTTAAATTTATGTTTTATCAGTAAATTTTTATTAAAATTATATCGAATATTTGATTTATAATTATTTATTTTAAATTATCAAATATGATATATTTTATTTTAATATTAAAAATTAATAATTTATTCATCTCATATTTATTTTCGTAAAAAAAAAGAAATAGAACAGCAACAGGAAGGGCCTACACTTGTACATGTCAGCTTTGGTTTGCAAAGAAAGTACAATTGATGGAAATATTTTGGAAAGTTCGAAGTCTTCATTTTTCACACAACTCGTGTTATGTATTTTTCTTTTCAGACAACC